TTATGTATAATGATTATTTTCTTATAATTATTTATTTGTCGATTAATGTTTTATTTATATTTTTATAGATAAATCCGGCTTTTTCTATTGAAAACTGGAGACATCGATAAGCGTCTCAGTAGTGAAAGTATTAAAGACTTATGTAGGAATGTGCGCAACAATATAGTCAGAAGATTTAGTTAAATTCTCGCTCAATCGCAATTTGAAATGTAGCAACATGAGAGTTTAAAAGAGTGTCAGAATAACTAAGATTTTCAGATATCGTCATAGATTTTTTTATGTCCGTATTTCTTATTCAACGGTCGTTTTCATCGCGAGATAAAATTATATCTTCATTAAAATTGATTAAATTCGAAATCGGATAACATAGCGTTTAACCCAACGTTACCAAGACAGAATATATAACAAATCCTGTTTATTTATATATAAATATAGTGTTATTTTCTCTCACAACTGATCCGCATCTATCGACTGTTGAAAAAAGGGCAAAAATTAAAAGTGAAGAGTTAAAAGTCATTTGTAATATATATTTATATTAATTTTATTAATATGACTTAAATTGATACCAACCTTAGGTTAAAATATTCTAAAAGTTTTTACTCTCAAAATGAATATTCCAATATTCTAAACAATTTTTTGACACAGACTAGCAGCCAGGGTTTAACAAATTTCTTAATAATCGTGTCACACGCTTCCGTTTTAATAACGACGCGTTAAATACGAATTCCTCTTGCCGTTCCGGTTCGTTTAGCTGTAAAAGATACGTTGCAATTTCGACTCACCACCAGTTGGCTTGCGCGCCGCTTTGCCACGCGACGATCAGCAAAGACACGAGCAGGTAGCTCATTGACATGACGAGCGTACGTTGTTGCGTGCGGCGATCCCGTGTGGACTTTCTTTCTCTCTCTGTTAACTTGACTCTGACCGCCGAATTCCTGAAGTCGAATCTCCTCGTGGTAAGCGCGAAGGAGAGAAGAGATTACGTGGGCCGTTCGTGCTGCCTTCTCAGCCTCGCATTCTTACATGCGTCGCCGACGACGGTCCGTGTTTCGCATCGTTCTTTCCGCGAACGCGAGCGATATAGCGGCGTGCGAAACGTCGGACTGTGAGATCTCCGGCCACCGAAGATCGCGCGCGAAAGAGAGAGACAAGAGCGTGTTCAGGATCAAGCGATTTCGGAGTGCGCGCCCGGAGCAGATCGACACTTCGCGGTACCCGCGTCACCTTTTCTCGCGCTGTGCCTCTGTGCTCAAAAGACGGACGAAAGTTCTCCAGCTTTGGTCCCTCGTCTCGTCTTACATGTTTCCGGTGACGCGCAACCGATTCGAATGCCGCTACGCGACGCAATCGAATAACGCGGACAGAGCCAATCAGCTTGTAAATCGTCCGATAAATCGTTTCTCGCTCCGAAAAATCTCGCACGGTCTTCCGAGCGAGTGCGGAAGAGTATGAGAGATGATTTAACGAGCCCTCAGGAATTTTAATTGGTAAAACTTTCACGCTGGCGAAAAGTCGCGAAGCAAGAACAAACGTCGTCGTCGTCGTCGTCGTCGTCGTCGCGCACGGAGTCGACACGACCGAGACGACGCTCCGTGAACGTTCGCTTACGGACTGTGGCCGGTACTGCCGGTAGTCACGAGGAAAAGGGCAACGGGGCTCTCATGGTGGGCGGAGTCGTTGTGCGTTCGTAGCTCACCGATTGGTTGCGTCGCTGAAGAGCCTCCGAGGCTCCACTCGCGCTAATTAAGCATTTCGGCGCACCGGCGACGGGACGGTGCGAGCGCGTACGCTCGCTCGCTCGCTATTCGTTCCTCGGACTCGTGCTTGTCTCACCGAATCCGACTTACGTGAAACGCGACCGCGGCTGTTCTGCGTCGCCTCGAATCGTTTCGTCGCTCGAGATGAAAAATCATTGAACTCAAAAATCGACGTTTGAAAAATACCGCTTTATTCCGAATCGTGTACCGTTAGATCAAAGCAGCAATGGCAACTTAATCCCTCGAGTTAGATAATATTTTGTTATTTTTAATGGTGCATATATGTCAAAATGTAAATCAATCTATTTTTATAGTCGGTTTTAAAGTAAAAACTTATATTGTTTAAAACTTCATTGTTTTAAATCAAGGATTTTAATTATTAACAATTACCAGCTTGTTTCGACTCGTAGCCTTTTATTGGAATTATTTATGTTTTAGTTAAATTAATGATATATTGAATAGGCGATCTATAGAAATGATTAAAAATAACTCAAATTGGGTATAATTTGACATTATGAAAATTTAACAGTGTATTTTTTTGCATACTAGCGTATGGTGATAAATATGATAAGTATCACGGAAAAAAATTAATTAGATTGGTACAACAAAGCTAAAGCTTACTGCGAATTCAACGTCTATAACTAAGAAAATTTGATGGTTTAACAAATCACTAATGTTATTCAGCTGTCAACTTTGCTATAATATATTATTGAAAACTGATTCTCTGTATATTACGACTGCAGATTTGTTGAATCAGTGAAATTTTTAGCTGTTTTTTTTCCATGTGTGTGTACCGCTCAAAAATGTTTTTCTCGGCTGTCTCAATAAGATGCCACTTTTAACAGATATAAAAATTAATTAGGAACAAAAGTTGACTATAACTATTATTTTGTAAATATTAAAACAATTCAGAAACGTAACTTAATTTTTTTCTGTCTAACGAGATAATAGAGAACTTGTTATGTGAATTAAATGATTAATAACTTACATATAGGGATACTCTGAATAATTAACAATGATTTTCTTTGAAAGGAATGCAGACAATATAAAAGGAACAATATAAAAATTTTGATTCGCAATTTCTTATTTTCGAGAAAAAGGGCATTGCTACAAAAATCTTGTCTATTTCTTGTTTCATTAAAAAGTGGGAGAGGGAAGCGCTAAACATAACGCTGGTACGTAAATTTGTTCAAGCGATGGCAAATAGCAAATGCGAGTGATTTTAAATATTTAATTTTCTAGTGCTTAAATTATCGCGTTTAAGAAACGTTCAATATAAAAATAAACAGTATTAAAAAAAGAATTTCTTAGGATCGTATAAATGTGATTATACAACGGGTAGGGAATAAATTCCTTAAACGGTTAAGCTGGATCTTACTGGTATTTTATGTGATTGGGATCAACTTAAATGTTTTTGTGATTTAATATTAATTCATATCAATGTCGCTATTCTCTGAATTACAAATTTATCTTTATTACGCGCTACAAAGATATCTGCCAATCCGCGACTTTTCTGTTCCACATCTTAAGACTCATGTTGTTATAACGTGTAATTTATAACAGTATATGGAATTAAACCCGATATAATCTTAGCATTGTGAAGATATGTGTGTTAATTGTGTATCTTATTATTATATACAAACATAAAAATAATTTTCCATGAAATTTTGATTTACTAAAATCATTCTACTTCCAACCTTTGTAATAGCATTATGAATTATAACGGAAAGATAAGTTACGTATGTATGCGAAATAACTATGATAATCAATAACGCATATTAATATTTATTACGGTATTTTTAAAAAATATATTTTAATTTAAATAAATGAAATTTATGTTATATTTACACTAAACATAAAACATTTAAAGATCTTGTACTTTCAAGACATAATAGCAGAACGGAATTTGATTACAGATATTAATTTCAATTTATTAGCAGACCTTAAATGATCAATATTGTTGCACAATATTTGATATCGCACAATATTATTTACCGTCTGGGTGCTATATTCAACTTCCAAATTGTTTACTTTGAATTGTTTAAAGCATTATTAATATTATACAAAATAATTATATAACAATATTAAGCGTCTAGGGACCGCTTTGTCAAGATGTAAAATATTGCCGATTATGTAATTTATTATGTATTTTAATTAATTTATTGAATTCGTACTAATTATTCACATTTGTTTAATCAAAATTTTTGGGAAGTTTGAAAATTTGGAAAAATAAACAAATATTTTAGCTATTGCAGAAAGATCACTTTGCAGGTACTATAACTTTATGTTTTCTTATAGTGTATAAAATTTAGTTTCCTTTATACGTATAAGTATATTTAATCACATTTTAACATATGTGTATGATTTTAATTTTTTCTTACGTATTTATCTGTAATATATTCAGTATAATAAGATAATTTACAGTTTTCCTTGTTAACATTTACGATGTCAAATTTTCTAATAAATTAACTTTTTATTTCTCTTTTCAAAAAATATGCTTTTTACATCTATATTTTTATAGTGATCTTTTTTAATATATTATGAGGCTAACGCTGCCATCTGCGGGCCTAATAGGCAATTTATAAGAGCAACAGTGGGTAAGGATTCGGTAAATATACGTACGTAATCATATACTTGACACAAGTATTTTTTATATCTATATGCAATTTATATGACATAATGATAAATTATTACAAATCGAGATAAATTAATAATTATTCTAAATATGCTTATAAATACATTATCTTATAAATACATAATCTTATGCAACCAACACCGACACGTACAATCACGTATATATCATAAAAATTTAATTTCTTTGCAGAATTATATATTATGTAATACATATTTATGTACATATATTACACAATATTTCGACACTAGTAACAATATAAATTTTACGTTGTTTTTGTTAAGCGTAACATAATACGTTTTCATTAAGAGACACACACTTTTCTTCTCCTATCTAATCACAAAAGAATGCATACCAATCTAACTATAACGATACAAGATTTATTTTTACTCTAATAAACAGTAAAATTATTTAAAAAATGAGAAATATATATATATATATACATTGAACAAAGCAGAAATTTCTTTCATGACAGAAGTGCTTTGGTAATTTGAGCTATACCATGTCACATTCGCATCAATTTATACTCAAGGCACTGTCACTGTATGACAAATTTTAAATTGACGTGTATTTTATATGACGAACAGAAATAATAATTCTTAATCTGACAACTGATTAAAATAGTATTTAATGTTATTAAAAAATTAGGACAAACAAGGATATATCACATTTGTTGTTTGAAAATGTCTTGTATAGTCATACAGTTGCAAATTCTGCTTGTCGCTGCGAAGGATTATGATAGAGACCAGCCATTGCTTCCTGTAATGCTCGTAAGCATGCGACATGTGCCTTAAATCCTCCCGCTCTTTCAACCTGACATTCATTACGTATGTGTGAAACGTATCCACGAGCTTGGAGTTCTCGCCAGTTGGGTGGTGACGGACCTTCTATCTGTTGCCGGATAGGCGTGTAAGAATAGAGAGGTCCTTCTTCTATCTTTGGCACTGTGTAATTCTGATTTCCTTGATTACCAAATTTAATTCCTGTACTAAACTGAGTTGCTCTAACGGAGGATAAGGCTTTCGCCTCCTCCTTTTGCGTCTGTATTGCGGAAGCAAACGATTCAACGATGTTTTTGGCATTTGCGTCAGAGAACGTTAGCTCGTCGATCAGAGCTTCCTTCTCGCGAATCTTTTTCTTCTTTGTCTCGACTTCTTCCTTTGCAATTTCTATCCTTCTTTCTTCCTCTTTCTGCTTCTCCAATTCTATCATCTCCTCTAGTTCGTACTCGTTTCTGCCAAGTTTAGCTTTACTTTTCGCTATTTGTTCTTTGTTATCTTTTTTATACTGCTCTATTTTCTTGTTTGTTTCAACTATATCAATGTTATTAGCCAGATTGTATATTATAGTCTCAATTTCCTCTAAATAATCATTATATTCCCTTAATGTGACAAAGTCTTCTTCTCTTTTATTAAAATCTCGTAGGATACGTTTCCTTATATTCACTTCTTTTTCAACCATAGAATCCTCAAACATTTGAACTCTAAAGTTCGTCCTCCTCAGTGGGATTTTACATTCTGGACACGATCCGGAGCCTAAATAATTTAATTAAATGTAAGCATTATTGAAATTACACTCTCTATCTTTATTAAATAAAATATAATAATCATGGAAATAGATCAACCTTTTAGAAAGAGTAGATCCACACAGTTCTCACATAATGTATGGCCACAAACGTTTACCATCAATTTTAACGATGGATTTCGGTATTTGGTGGTTTTACACCGTGGACACGCTTGCTCATCCATCTTCTTCAGAGGAGAAAATAATAAAATAGATTTGATAAAAACGTTTTTGCTTGTTTTTTAGAATTAGAGGTTACTCATAAACACAATACATCTTAACTTACGTTGTAAACGGTGTTATTTCTCGTACGAAGTTATAAGTTAAGGTAACTGCTTGAACTGTCACTTACGAACTACCTAATATTACGTTCTGATATCATATTTAAATTATTTGCTTACAGTTGCACACGATGCATGCAATCCTGGCAACATAACCTATGGTATAACCAAAGCTACTTTCCAACACACGCTTCGATCTCTCGAATATTATTGAATCGCCTATCGATAGATTATATGTCGAATAATGTGAATTCGATTTTAAAACAAATTTCCTTTATATACATATACATATAGATTCGATTTTATTCTCTTTCCACATTTGTTTATTTTGTTTGTTTATTCTTTTTATTAGAGAGTAATAATACGTGCCTTCAGCGTGTATTGTAGAATTATTCGGAATGGATTCCTATCTGAATTGTTCAATTATTATTTCCGACATTTCTATTGTGTTTTCTATAAGGGAAAACGCAATAATTCTGATCGAAATTTATCTGAACAATTGCGTAATTGGTACATATTTTCCATTTTATTATTTCATTATATACTCTCTCTCTAAATCTTTTAAAGTGAATTGTTACTCTAAAGAGTGAAATCTCTTACTCTTAAAGATTGAAAATTGAGCCACTCTTTTTCAAGACGATACATTTTCACTCTTTAGAGTGAGATTCTACTCCAAAGAATTCAGAGAGTAAGTACATATATGCATACATACTTTTTATTTAATTTTATATTTATTTCTATTTTATTTATTTTTACTTTATTAATTTATTTTTGAAAATATATTAATTTTTTAAATATATACTTTACTGAATTTAGATCAAGACTTAATAAAAATGAATTTACCATTCTCCGCATATTTATTTTATATGTATTTAAATATTATACGGAGAGAATTTTTTTTTAAATTTGCCCTGAAAATATGATAGTTGTAATACAATACAATATTTTAAAGATTTTTACCATGCACTTCAGTGCTAAAAATTGATCAAATTTATTTTATACTTCAGTAGTTTTATTAATGAATGAGAGAGATTTACATTCAAATTCTCCGAAATACAGTGTTGTCCCACGACTGTCATATTTTCAGGGTAAATTTTAAAAAAAAATTCTCCGTGTACTAGTTTGATACTAGAAATCAATATATATGTATAGGGTATCTTAAAATTCGCAGTTCAAATATGATAGCAAGAAAATGTTTGAAAAATTAAGTAAGAAAGTTATTTGTAAATTTTAATTTTAAGCAGTAGTTCCTGAGATATAAGGATTTAAATTATATAAAAATATAATTTGAATAATTTTAAATATATCTAATTTTTATATGGTATTTTAGATATATATACATATACAAAATATACATAATTTAATTGAACAATTTCCGCTACACGCCGACTGACTTCTGATAAATAAAACACTAAAATTTGTATAACAGCAGATTATTACTTGTTTTTTTAGTTTATGGGCTCTTTGAGTGATTATATATTTTACTCGCGTCAGCAAATAAGGAAAAAATTAAAAATAATACACATATATTTACCTGTTAAAATTCACAGCGATTCCTGTTTCTGATTTAGAAGAAACTGACATTTGCGTTCATTTTTAAAACAAGAGTTGAGAAATTACAATTACTCTGCTCTTTTGTTTCTCGCTTTGCATTCATCGTGTGCTCCGCTGTAACAATTGTTAAACATCGCCGTTTTAGATTGTAGAAAAAAAAGAACTCTTCGTGAACGAGGCGCAGAGGAATATATAGAGATAACATTCAACAGACTTTCAAAGCAATAGATACGCTTAATGAGCACGAACCTTTCTGACAATTTCGCAAACTTGCAAAGCACAATCGAATTTCTCTCGGAATTTATTAACCTATTTGTTAATTCGAACCGGCATTTGTTTATTGAATATTTGTCTGTTAAGCTTTTGTCGACTGATTATATTTCGCTACGGTACTTGCGCGCTGTGAAGCAGAATAGCGAAAATCGTAAAGTAGCGTAGTAACGCAAAGTAACTATCGATCGCCAGCGAGAAAAAGGATCGAGCTAATAAGCCGATTAGTGATCAAAGGGCGGAATATTGCAGTACGGGATGCAACGCCAGTAGCGCGGCGCAAAGGGAATAGGATCTTTGCTGGCAAACAATATTGCAAAAATGGCCTAAAACACGAAGCGTTCGGAAAAAATGAAAGCAAAATAGAGCACGAAACGTGACTAAGTGGTGCATCGATAACTAAATGCGGAATTTGTTGTCGCGAAAGCTTTCGTGCTGCCTCCAATCCTTCGTCTTTAACGCGTTCGCGGTTTAAGGAATTTGCAAGAAAAGGATGAAACGATATGAAATATTCTCTTTTCGTACGAGACAGAGACGGTATATTTTATTTTATAAAAGAACTAAAAGAAAGAAACTACATCAAGGTAACAGTCGTAAACGCACAGCATACGTAATTATTATCGTTCTTAACATCGCGCTAACTGATTTATAAGAGTTCCATTAATTGCTGTGGCAAGTTTGTATTAGCAGAAGATTAAAAACAAACAATTATATGGAAGTTAATAAACCAGTTAATTAATAGCTAATAAAACGAACTTGTGAGATTAATTTGAAATGAGAAATATACAGAAGCATGCTGAAAGTCGCAAATATAATGAAAAATTCAAAAGAGAAAGATTTTTTTACTTTCGTATGCTTAATATAATATTTCGATATAATGAAGAACATTTGCAATATTTTACATAATTTTTAATCATTTCCATGCGATCTTTTAATTCGTATTTTAATAATTTTTAATATTTAATTTTCTAAATATAATATTGGACTATTAAGTTTCTTTTCGAGGATACAAAATTTCCAATAGAAATAATAAAAGCAAAAGGAGGGCATAAAAAAATTGTATCAACGTATGTTGTTTAAATTGTTTTTATTCTACGCGCCGACGTCCTATCGCTCCCCTACTATTTATAAAACGGAGTGTAATACTGAGGAACAACAGCGCGACATGTGTACACACGCATACAATTTCCATACGTTTGGAGATATTTCAATCGACTGGACCAACAATCGTAAACTCAATAAGAAATGGTACCGAACGGTATACGAACGGTAGAGCGGGAAGGAAGGGAAAAAACACGGATGGATCTTATAGGATCCACTGCCAAGTTTAATCGGCGCCGTGGTATCTCGCGAGGGCGGCATTCGATTTCCAGATTCCCGGCTAGAGATGCTGTGGCAACGAAGGGAGAGTGAGAGAACGGGAGAAGGGAGGAGAGAAAGAGAGAGAAAACGAGGAAAAGGGAAGAAGAGAGCAGGATGTTGCGCGACGACGACGACGACGACGACGACGACGGTGGCGACGACGACGACGACGACGACGATAAAACGAAGAGAGATACACGCTTGCGCCAGGGATATCACCCTCATCTCCTCGTACAGTGCACCCCTAGTGAGGGGACGAGAGAGCGGGGCGTGTGGCGAGGATAGATGGCAGGGCGTCTCTCCCGGGCCGCGCAGGGCCGCGCAAAGCCGCGTTGCACACGCACTGTCAGTTCTCTTCAGTTTCGCTCGGCTATCCGTGCAACGAGTTGACTCTTCGTCAGCCGGATCGGCCCGCCCGCGCCCGCCGATCCGAGATCATCCCTTTTGCGAGAGAGAGGGACCACAGCACCGCGTGTCGATCGTCGTCGCGCGACCGGCCGCTCGATCGGCGCCACGACGCGTCGGAGACACGCCTGTCGCCGACAGGAAACAGTAGGAAACAGGATCGCGTGGTTCTTTGCGGCAACGCGGTTCGTTCCTCCGGAACGGGAAGCGTCGGCTTTCTGCCTCGTCGATGTCGATCTTTGGTCTTACACCGGCAAATTTGCCGGAAAATCAAATAGAGTGAAAAAGAGACGGTGAAACGAATCGAGACTCGAGTTTATACCTTCGGGAGAACCAAAGAACACCGCTGATTTCCGTACTTTGAATGGCACGGCGAGCGACGATCAACGAGTGACTTCGCCGAGAGTGCGATAAGACAGGGAGAGACAAAGATTCGGAGGGATGCACGTATCACGCCCCGCCGGCGCTTTTCAATTACGCGAATCTAGATCATTGCGAGGCTGTTAGCGAATTAAGCGGGCTCGAGAGAACGGACTTATGCGGGCTGAACGCGAGATGAAAATAACGATCGTGCCGTCGCGATGAGAAATCGTGTTGGGATAGATTCGCAAGTACGAAGCAGCGACGTAACGATGCCATGGAGCGTGGAGGCAAGAAAAACTGGAAACCGTCGATTTATCCGATAAATTCGTCCTGATTCCGCTTTCCGGCACACGTTACTGTCAATTTCGGCGTGCAAAATACGGAACTCGCGGGTCATTTTACAACTGCGGCAACAAGCTTGCGGCAATCGCCATCCCGTTCGAGGATCTATCGGAGATCGCGGCGCACGAGGAAGAAATCGACCGGCACTCCAAAACGACTATGAGAGATAAAAAATGAGGTGTCTAATCTTGACCCTCGGTCTGCTGGTTTCGGGTGAGTCGAATAAATCGCGTTCGGAAATCGCCTGACCGGTCATGTCGTCAATCACCTGCATGTCGCCGACATCGACGGCACACGCCAAATCTCTGCCCATCGTACAATTGGAAGCGAAATCCGCATTTAGGCAAATACGGCAGTAAACATTCAACAGTCTCGAATAACGCGAACGATAAATTAGTAAAATTGCGATATATTAATAAATATTGCGTAATACAATTTTGTTAATTTTATCACGCAAATGAAATCGCTTCCGCTCGTTAGCCTCTATATATTAATTCTGTTCGTGTAATTTGCATTGGTCTGAAAAACGTGCGAGAAATTTTCTTGGCTTTTAATAAGTTTCAGTTTTTCGCGTACTCTTTCTTTCTCTTTTTACACATAGTTTCGGAGATAACCACAAGAAGGGAAGCGCCGGAAACTTAAAGATTCGGAATTCGTGAAACTTAAACGTTTGAGATTCGTAATCGTACATTGTTAGCTTCATCTGAAAAATGTATTGTGATAAAATTAACGGACGATCGATAAATTTCCTTAAATAACGATTTTAATTTATAATTACGTAATAATTTAAAATAATGATTTTTCCTAAAAATATGCATTACACTTCGTACAGATCCAAAAATATTCTTCGATGGTCATTCACCCGACAAACGGTTCTTGACCGTTGCGCCCACCGTATTTGCTTCAACATGTTTTCGGTTCGATTAATACGGGATGCGGGAATATTAGATTTACGATTTTACCAAGAGTAAAGTACACGTTAACTATACTCCTTTTCTTTTCAGAATAGTTTAATGATATTACGCGAAGCACGTACGGTTCGAGCGGCATGTCTTAACTTAGTCTTTTTACTGTTTCGTGATACACACTGAATATCTTATCCCTTTCATGTGAGAAGCCGGGCAATGTAATATTATGTACCCAGCTCGGTGGAGAATGCCAACGGTATATTACAGTGGGTTTAGTTAGCTCCCAAACTTAGTCTTAACTTCGTAATAACTTAGTATTAACATTAACCTTGTCCAAAATACGGGTTTATGCAGCAATTAACCCGAAAGTCTCATGTACTGGTAATGTAATGAGACAGCTATAATATCGTGACATAATGATATACCATAGTCAATAAAAGAATACTTGAAAATGCGAGCATAAACTTTAATTTCTGTATCGTGCAGTGTATAAAGTACCCTTTTTAATGTTCTTCTTTTGGCAAGCAACTCTCATGTCTTTGTAGATGTGAAATATCTGTTCTAAATCTGTTTATCGTATTTCAGTGTTACCGAAAAAGATACGCTACACGTGTATTCTCCAATCCAATTTATATTTTCTGCAGGATTGTACTAAAACGAAGACCGTAAAATTTTCAATGGGTTTAATAATTTCGGCCTTTAGCTTAACTTGGCCTTACTGTTCATTCAACAGTAAGCGATACTATGGTGACCGCTGTGTATTGAATTTTTATTCTTCAGACAGAAATTTCATCGACCTCCGAGCGCCATTTAATTGACTCTCATTCGCACAAAAATATTTATATGTAACTTGTTTTTCCGTTTTTACGCTACGAACGGTACGAGAATTAATAATTTTGGAAATTAAAAAATCAATATGACACGCTTTTATTCGCTTCTTTTTCTATTAATAAATAAATAAATATTTATTGTATCTATTTTGTACAAGCAGAAAAAAGATAAAATCGAAAAAAATAAAATAAAATAAATTGCGATGCGCATATTATGAGATAACTTTTCGCATATAAATGAAAATACGAAATTTAAAACAGAATGGTAAACTGATATTTTTCATGCGCAAGAATCATGTCAAATAGTCACAATTGAGTAAAAGTTCAAAAGTTAAAACCATTTATAATAGGACTAGGTTGAGATACTTCTTAAGACGATACGAACGTTCTTACGGCGTATCCAACATTGATGGTTTTTAGTCCTGGCTTAAGATTAAATTAGGATTGTGCTTTGAGACTGCGTGGAACTGAACAAACGTGCAATTAGTCGCTGCTACTACAAAATGAACTGAATGTATACATGCGACGTGATAAGAAACAAGGAAAGAAATTAAATCCACTGTACATTGTTGCGAAAGTAACCGTAGAGCACAGAAGAAAATAACCGAGAGGGTGGAAATTCTGATATGTATTTTAACCAAGGAGTATGCGGGGGCCGTGCAAATCCCACGGAAGCGCGGGGAGGTAAATATTTACTCGCGCAACTACCTGCATCCCTTTAAAGTTACCCTTTTGGAGCCACATTTATTTTTAACGCACGATTTTCCGACGACAGTTTTATCAGATTCGAAGACTCCATTACCGATATCGCAAGCGAAATTTTCCCATTGCGCAAGAAAATGCGCACACGCTACACCCTATATATCCCGTTTCTTATGTGCATATAATATCGTTTTTTATATATAAAAAGTTCTTTCGCATTGTTACACACTTTCTCTATTAATGGAAGACGGAGGATATACTCATCTTCAAGTTGACGTTCGTGTATAAACGGCTACATATATTTATGGAAAACATCCGATCAAAGTTACGAACTTTGCTGTGAACGATGAACGATTCACGGCGTTAGGAAACTTGATAAACGGGTAATGGAGAGTTCACACAGTGTCGATTTACGATATGGCTATTTTATAGCTGTTTATGAATCTAATACGGGGACATCACAGAGTGATATTGAATTGAGATACAATTACATTTACAGATAAATGTTGAATATAGTAATTCGATGTTTCGTGCAAACGCGAATTTCCGTTCAGTGAAAAACATACATGCATTGTTAATATTCAGGACATACATGGAATATTTTCGTAAACTTTATAAAATCTTCTGATGTCACAGAAGAGAGAAAGAGAGATACAAAAAGGGGTTTGAGAGGGCAAAGAGATAAGAGGAAGCTAAAAATACGAAAAGTGGTAGACATCGTGTTCTTATGAAAGAAAGAATAAACATTTTTACGGAAATTTGCATGCAAAATAATTTTCTTGAAGGAGAAAACGAGATAAAACCAAATTGATTATAAAACATCATGATAAAGAAACCAGAAGTTCCTGAATTATGTAAATGAAAGGTTTTGTGCGATTTAAATCTCAGAGACGCAAATAGCTAGTGGAACATTATTCGTCCTATAACTTGAATTTATTTCAAAAAAGATTTTAACTTTTTTCCACTTTTATTGCTAAGGTATTCAATATTGAAGTTTGAGAAATTGTGGGAGAGATAGCAACCTCCGACATTTTCAATAAGAAGGGATCGACTTCAAGTTTAACAAGAAATAATGTTGGCAGGAATAATCTGCCAATTTCCTGCTAATTGCTAATATTAACAGATTCCGTAGAAAGAAATAATGAACATACAATTTTCTAATGTACCATTTTTCCAATGATGTTAACCCGTAGAAGGTAGATACTTTCAATCGGACATTCTCTGTCTCAAATAAATTCTTCTCCTTCCAGCCTTTAAGAAAGATGTCCTCATTGTTTTTAACTACCACGATCTTGCAGGTCTAGCTTCTTTTTACAGTTACAAAGAAAGACCTTCTATTACAAAAATTCTTCCGACAATAGCGTTAAAAAGTTATAAAAAAAATTTGATAAAAAATAAAATTTATTTTATTTTACAGTGTTATTTTAGAGTGTTATGATTCGATTTTATTGTAAAACATTTGTCAAAGAACCGAGAGTAAATGGTAAATTATATTTATTATCGGTTTTTGCAGGTTTATCACATACGATCTCTAAAATTAATATGCAAAACTGTTATGTAAAACACGAATAATTTGTATTTTCGTATTACGCGTGCAACGTGTGTTTAATTTTATGTTATTTTGCAACAGAGAACGGGTAATAAGAATTAAAGAACACCGTTAGCCCGGGAATATAATACAACTTTTTTCTACGACCTAAACTACTACTTCGCGGGATGTGCTTTAATAAATCATTGTTATTTATTACGCGCTGCATATACGGCTCCAAGCGATACAGGGGAATCCACGAATGTCTGAAAAAGTTTTTAAAGAACTTTTGAAAAATAAGGGCGTCTTTTGAAACGTTTATCTGGGGAATTGTCTTCTCTTTTTGTCGGGGAGTGTTACAGAGACACAGTATAATATCCCGATCCGAAGTTAATTCGCCTAATTGACTGGAAAACGAAACTTTTTAACGGTAACTCCAATGCGCTCGAATGGAACGGTGATAATATATCTTCTCGATCTTTTCAAGTGATGTAAATTACAACATTCCGCGCGATCCTTGCCGCGTTAAAGTGTCTCATGCTAGTTTCACTAACAAAATAAGATAGATACAACATTGTATTTGGTTAAAGTGCAAGGACCTACCCGATGCACGGCCGATCACAGGACACACGAGAATCGTGCATCGGAGCCGCTCGATCGAGGGCCGTACTTTGATGTTTCGGTCTCTCGCAACGTGACAGCCCTTGTCGGGAAAACAGCGACGCTCAATTGTCGAGTACGAAATTTAGGTGACAAAACGGTAAGTAAAGAGACAGTCTCCCTTTCTCGTTACTGCAAAATTATTTACTTCTGTAAAAGACATAACGCAACGATAAATATTTCGAGTATTATTTCAATGCCAAGTACACAGAGAGAAAAAATGGTTACATTCATCATAATTTATAAGTGAAGTAAATTTAAACCGATAGGAATAATTCTCTCAAATAAGAGGAAGAATTCTATTTTCGATGAAAGCGGATTTTGAACCATAATTTAAATGTAATTTATAGTCATTTTTAATATGCCAAGTATGTATTTTTCTTTGATTGAACTATAAATATATAAATTGTTGTTACATTCTAACAGTAATAAAACAGGAGCTCCTAACCGTAATTATTTTACCATGCAATTATAGCATACAATACCAAACACTTCTCGCAGTGTACGTGGTACAATTAAATACTTAGATGTGTGTGAAATTTATTTGAATTTGAGTGTATGGCTCGACCGTTTGAATCAATGCTACCTTTCTACATTAAACTTCGTAAAGAGATTAGGAATGAGGATGGAAGAGATGTAGCATAATAGCGTTCTGTAATATCCTAATAATGACTGAAGGTTTTCTAAAGCCAATGTAGTTTTATATTCTAATAACGTTATCTCGCTTATTATAATAACCAATAAAGTTTAATATAATACGATTTTAATAATATTAGCGTGGAATACAAGTAATGGTAAAGAGAACCGTTCTTGAAGTTTATTTTAAGCTCTTTAAGAGAAAATTTGAATGATGAAGCTTTAGAAAATACCTTTAGCACGCTGAACTAAGTCCATTCAATATCGAAGAGACGTACAATTTTAGTCTTGTAATATGCACATAGTAGCTCGCGAGTGCCACTTTTATCTCTGGTATATCGCGAAATCGACTGTCAGTGCTAAAAATATTTCTCGTCTGCGATACTCTTACGCCGGAAACTTTTACCAGAAATGGATCGACTCGAAACATCACAGCCTTAGACGCAGTATTAAAAGCCTGTCTATTAGGTATGCAATATTTTTCGCACATATACGTACATTGACTGATGTCTATCATGAATTCTTATATAGTATTCTTTAGACTTTAGAGTGAAATGAAACACGCGCGGGACGATTAAAGTTGTCGTGGCAGATAAATAGATACGTACAGTTATTTGTGACGTCGTGGTGCCATTTATAAAAGAAGTTTATGAATAAATTACAGAGAGAGAGAGAGAGAGAGAGAGAGAGAGAGAGAGAGTCGAGAAAAGAGTCGTGTGGCTATCGACATTCTAGAAACTTATACGAGCTACAAAATGCGATTAAGTTACAAACTTGACTGCGCGCCATTTCATATTCCTGTGCCGCACGTTGTTTTTCGTCACATGTATAACAAAGTTGGCCCATCACGAGACACTTATATGAAGAACACCGCGAGAATAGGCAAGACTGCAATACTTCCTCCTTTTTTCTTCACGCCCGAGAGGGATTTCAACAAAAAAAGCACATGCCCCCTTTGCATATCTTTCGTGTCTGAGTTTTTGCTTGCGTTCCTATTTTGTTAACGCCGTTTTTTACATTTCACCGGCAATCTGTCTCTTTGCTGCGTCCATGCGTAGGTAGTTGAATTACGTTTTCACAGAGCAATGTAAATTTTCCACGTTCCGACCTCATACGAAGGGCGTTAATTTTAATGGAAAACCTGTTATTTCAAATGACGAATTAATACGTAGATCGTATCTCGAAAATTCTGACATATAAAACTAAATGTGAGGAAAGGAAATACTTTTTTTTTGTTTTAACGGTAAAATTTGCAGCTTTATGCGAATAGTCGAATAATTTTTTTTTTTATAAAACGCGCGCGCAATATACATTTTCCACGTTCCTATAAAATTATATTAATTTCAGCGAAAAATTTATATTAATACAAGGATAGTAATAAAGGATTATTATTAACATAACGTATAATGCAAGAATTTTTACGCATAAAATTAATTGTGGAAAAAGCTAGTTTTTCTAACATCACTGAAAAAATTTTTTAGTATATCACTAAAATTAGTCGTAGAAACAGCTAGTTTTTCCAATATCACTGAGAGTACGTGTAAGGTTATAACATTTTACTCTTTAAGATTTAAATGAGACATTTTATTCAAAAATATATATTATACTTTCGTGCGTTATGATTATTGCATATATTATTATTGTATATGTCAGCATACATCAGTTAATACATCAGAAATACGTTCGATGCACGTCGCTATCGAAAAATTGTGCACTTACGAACACTGTCATATTGGAAGTGAATGCACGTATTGACATTTTCAAAATGGAGTTCTGAAAGCTTAAGATTCTTTACTTGCGCGCGACATTTCGCGTATGGTAGTCAATTGTACACGGTAATCACGACGGTGGAAAGGAAAGGAAGAGGAAAGTTCGGATTTTCCGATGGCTAGCTAAAGTATTCGAAAACGTACAAGTTTGACGTAAATTGATAAATCGATGTTTCCACTTTAGCTTGTAAGCATATATTCCGTTCGCGGAATCGTGCGTATATACACAAAATCGTTCCTTCCATGTATTTCGCACAATCGCGAGATTTCTAATGTTGCTACACGGTAGGTAAATATAGGTCGATAAGCACGCGAGCAAATCCGTGTTATTGAGGCGGAACGACAAAGGGCGCTAAACTATTTTAATTACAGTCAGTGTAAGCTAAACTATGTGATATGATTGCTTTGTTCTACATATATCCATATTCGAAAATAATGTAAATGTACTTCAAACATTTCGTTTGCTCTCACAAGTAAAACGTAATTTAAAAAAGTATATATATTCGAAAAACATTTTAATGTCATTTCGTTTAGCTTCGAGAAAGCATTTCAAAATGTGTACATCTATGACTGGTATTCATAGTTTTTATTTCAAGACCGTTTTAAATATATGAACATCAAAAATGGTTTTGCTGAAGTATGTCAAAATTTAGCTAGTATATGCATCTGAAAATAATTTTGTTAGACCATTAAAATAATTATACATAGGACGTTTAAACTTTAAGCTTGACGAGCAAAACTACAAAAAGTTTTGACATTTCAACCAGTTTGAGCGTCCTACATAATTGTTTTGATGATTCAACAAAATTATTTTCAGATTTGTATCTAACTAAATTTTTAGATATTTTAGCAAAACCATTCTTTCCGTATGTTTTAAGATGCAAACATAGTTAGTTAACATAGAATATTACGATATTCTAAGATTTTATTTAGATGTAAGAGAGGAATGGACTACGAATTACGGAATTAATTTTATTTTGCAAAATAAGCTCTTACTTTATGTTAATATTCTAAAAAAATTTTTGACGTTTCTCTTATGTAATCGTATCTCCTAAAATTTCCGGCTGGATTCGACATTAACATATATTTAATTATATTCTTCTAACAAGCGTTGAAATACGACTGTCAGATCTTAAAAAAATTATTTCAACTTGCGTTTTCCAGTATAGAGGCATTTTTGTGAGCTGGAAGCAAAAACGCAATCGTACGGCTGTTCCATTCTCTCTATTAAAACTAAAATCGAATATGCGCTTTTCATTAGCACTAGATCGTAACTGCGCGTCACATGAACAAAAGCCACGCTACCGTCCTTCTGCCTGTACCTCTTCCCCTTTTCATATCAGCTTCAGTACGCCAAGCACGCGTACAAAACTCAATGAAGCCGTTTTTATGAGAGAATACGCATTTTTATTCTACGTGTTCGGCATTTCACATTTCCGCTAATATAATATCGCTCAAAAGCACGCTGCGTTTATGTAAATCAATCACGTCGATCCATTTCTACACGGCGAAGAAACGTAAGGACATGATCTGTCGAATGTTATCGATAAAAAGATAAAATGAAAAAGGAACATAAAAGAGAAAGACCGAATTACATATTGAGATCGAGAATTGAAATTAATATGATATTTTGGCGGAAAGTCTCGCGCGTCATCGATATGCAGGAAAAATGAGCGATGCGTTCTATAGTGTTAGATGGGCGTAAGAATCATTTTTACACGTCGCGTCCGCAGTATCGAAATCCGCTTAAATTATATCGGCTGCGCAATCCCTTGATCGAATCCTGTGGACGTTTATTCTGGCGTACGGACTCAGCTGCACGAATCCGCGCGAATTGCGGGGATCTCTGCGGACGTGAAGTGGATGAGCAAACGTGTGTTTCTTTTTTCTTGTAGGTGTCATGGGTGAGACACAGGGATATCCATCTTCTCACCGTGGGCGTCGAGACGTACACGTCGGACCAGAGATTCGTTGCGTCGCATTTTCCTCACACGGAGGACTGGACGCTACAAGTGAAATACCCTCAACGACGAGATTCTGGCACATACGAGTGTCAAGTGTCCACGACGCCACCCATAGGTCATTCCATGCTCCTCTCCGTCGTCGGTTAGTTCTCATTTCTTTTTTTTTTATGTCTTTCGCTTTTCTTCCTCGGTACAGCCCGGGCACCACTGATTTCGCCTCGACGCGGAAATTCACGCTATATCTATTTGCCGCCGGAAGTTTAATGTGCACCGCACGTGCATCGCGATATACCCGCGGCATTTGCCGCACCACGGACCCGTTGATTTACTGCATGACTTAATTCACGTGGAGTTGCTCAATGAGACACGCGACCTAAAGTGTTTTACCACCGCTTTGTCTCCCCGCGATCTGCTCACGCTGACGTTATCGGTGAATTTGACCGGAAGAATCAGAATCAAATTACTAGATAGATACGGTCGAGAAATGTAATATTTATGAAATTGGGATATCGACTTTTCTCTTTCCTTTCGTAAGATTTTTATAAAGCTTGCTGGAGTTCGCGCGGAGATCCCACAGACGTCTACTGCAATCTTCGTGAACTTGGCGAATTATAAATTTCTATCATTATGCATGCTTGTTCGTTTCGCGGATAGTGACTTTAATCAGCTTCATAATTTTGAACTTAAAATTAACTTGATATTAATATAATCTGATATTAATATCAGTCTTCTCTCATTTCGAAATTTATGTCGAAATTAATCCGGTGGTTTTCAATACTATGCCGAAACTATCTCAGATAAAAGTGAATTATTATATAACCACGATAAATTCTCTTTTGCTATAGATATAGCATTTAATACGCGGTGAAATAAAGCAGAAAAAAAAGTACTAATCATTACGAATAATAAATTGAGATATCAACTTTTCAGTTGTAATGCATTAATAATGATTCATTTGTTATCGTTCGAAACATCTGATACTGTGTGCTTGTTTATTCTATCAATAATGTCAATGTTTCTAAATGTAGTAATGACAAACGATAGGTAAACAATTATCAAATGTAATTTGCTTAATGCAATTATAATTTGTCATTAACTATATGGCTTTTCAATTTATCTTAATTTTTGAAAGTTCTTATTTGTTAAAAATATTATAATTTTTTAATGAACGTCCATGAACGTTAAACATTATAGCAATTTAGCAAAGTAATATAAAATTAGGAAATTCCTAAAAAAAATAATGAGAACAAATTTAATCAAAAAAAGATTATTTAATAAATATGCACAGTATGTATAATTTTTATATCTCTTTCATTATGGTTTAAATTCATTGTAAGCTTTTATTAGCCCTTGTTATGCTAATTTTGTTTTATATAAAAAAAAATATCACAAAGAAAACAAAGGTCAATAGGTGATGCACAATAACAAATTTAATTGGAGGTATTAAATTCTTTGTGAATATGCAATATTGCCTGCAATGTCTTTTTATCTTGAATTAGCTTTTTCCTTTGTAATTTTTATGAAGTTCGCATTTACCAAATAAAATGTAATTTTCACTAATTATAAAATTTTATGAAAATATAAAATTTGAGATGTCTATCACATAATTATTCTTGCGCGAGGATAAAATGTAAAATCCTTTTTACAAACTGTTATTATAGTTGAAATAAAATTAATATCTCAGCTAGTAAATTATTTGCCCCTCATTATTTTGACGTCGTATCGTTATGTGATCAAAAATATGTTTAGACGTACGTACACGATCGAAAAGTAATGAATGTCATAAATTAATGACGTCATTATATGTTATAAAGAAGTTATCTTATGAATTCAATTAATTAATTAATTTCCACTTAATGGAATGTGTAAACATTAAATAAATGTTAATTAAAAAGCAAATTAACATGTGATTTATGCTATTATATAAAAGTACAAACGGATATTGTAACATGTATAAATAAATCCAATACATTTCCAATAAACATATATAACTGTAAATTGCCGTAATAAAACAGAATATAATAAGTAATGGAATGTATTCATTACATATGTAATATTCATGTTGTATAATAATTATATTATGGGATTTTTTTTGTTACTTTATGTCAATTTTTGTTAAAATAATGAATTTCTTAGCTGAAATTCTTCAAGATATATATATATATATATATGTTTTTCATTGCGAATTTGAGGATAATGTTCTTTAATTTATAATATAAATCCCTATATAATCTAAATTCAAACTAAATTTAGGATTGAAAAGCTGACTGAATTTCCGTCGCACAGATTTGCAAGCCGTGTTTATAAATTCCATCCGTGTCTAATTCCATCCGTTGACGTAACGATGTGTTTTATAAATGTTAATATTAATACAAACTTATGAATTATTAATATTAAACATTAATATTAATTACATTAATATTGAATTTCCATACAAGATATCCGGTTGAATCTTATTAATAAAAGCTAGTATTAATATTAAATTAAAGTATTAATATTAGTATTAAATTAAAATAAAAATAGATGTAATTAAAATAGTTAAAATAGTTAATGATTTGTGGCTCCATTAATATTAAATTTCTACATAAGATTTCGATCTAATTTTTTTTAATGATTGGATAATGTCATTTTTAACCCCGTCAGACCTAATTTTATCGGAACTATGTTAAAAAAAATTTTTTAATTCAATTCAAGTGCACTTTAATAAATAATTCATAAATAATTAATTTTTTTTCAAAATTTTGACCATTTTCCAACATGTACATTATTATCTTTATTAGATCTCAGATGATATCGATGGAATTAAATAATTTCAACTAACAATGTCTTCAAATTTGATACATGTATACTATAATGTACACAAGGTCTGAAGGGGTTAATATTCTATGTTACATATTATATTCTCTGGTTCTTATCCATAGAGCCAGTGACGATAATCATCGGAGAACCAGAAATGTACATAAACAAGGATAGCACTATGAACTTGACCTGCGTCGTGCGACATAGTCCTGAGCCACCCTTGGTTATTTACTGGACTCATGATCATGAGGTACGTTACCATCAAGTATGAAAATGGTTTCATTTGATGAAAATGAAAGTAAGAAAGAGAAGGAGTTCCAGCGAATTAATTTTCGATCGTCATCCCCAACTAGGGCACATCGCGTAAAAGACGGTAACTTAAATCCACTGTTCTCTTCGCTCTACCATAATTCTTTGTCTTCTCCCATTCAACTTACGCTCACACTCGATCTATTCCGTCCTCACTCTATCATGCGACCCGTTTTAAGCAAGTTTTTAAATCTAAGATTCTAAGTTTGCTGACGAGAAAGAGAAAGAGAAGAAGGACGGAAAACTTTTAATTTTAATATTACCTGTTCGGAGCGTTTCTCCTTGTTGAATTTTTAAATATACGAACACCGCGGAGAAACTCCGTCTCATTTCTCAACTTCAAAACCTATCTCCTATCCCCCACCTTTCATTCCTTTCCCTTTGCCGCGTAAAGTTTTTTCTAGTGTGCTTTGCCGACCCTGGTCGCATTATACAACACCTATTTCCACGACCGTGTTTCTGTCTCTGTACCTCGCGGGCTTCTCTACTTAGGTCTTATATTCTTACTTTCGAACTCCACCGACAGTTCATCGCATTAACTCTCTCGTCGTCCTCGCGGTATCTCCCCGTTTCGTAATGTTTCTAGCCAATATTACGCACTGTATCTTCATTTCTCGTTATTACCTTTTCTCAGTTCACTTCGTCGACATCTCTTCGCAATTTACAGCACAGTTCTGAGATAAACGTGTAGCCTATAATTTAATTATTACAGTTTGTTGCCAATTCTCTTTATTCAATTCTTGATGTTTACCACGCAACTTGTTTAACATTATTTATTTTGTAATATAAATAAATTATTCACTTATATTATTATTAATATTTATTTGTAATTAATATTATTTTATAAACCTGATTATTCATTTTTATCTGCTCTCCTCTTTATGTTCCTTGCAGTTTCTTTTAGGTCTCTCTTCTTCCGCACACGAATGGATTTATTTTCCATCGTTTCGCTGACTATCTTTTCTCTTTCATCTTTTCTCCTCATTTGAGGATTTTCTTTTCGCAATCCGATTTTTGCAATCCATGCGGGTGCAAGTCTTTTTCCAACCGTCTGTCACTTTATTTCTTAGTCTATCTTCCAGAATTTGACTTTCTTCTTTTCCAAAGCTATCTGTTCTGTCGCCCTCGATCCCATAAGCTTCCGCGTCGCGTACGCGTGGAGATTTCCCTTCGTACTTGTTCCGTCTCATCATTCGCTTTCTATCCCGTCCCGACACTATTGCATCCGTGCTAGCCAATCCTGCCTCGATATTCCGTAGCCTCGAGTGAAAAATTTGACATGCAGTATTTCCTACTGGCCCCATATTTTCCATCTGTCTCGTCGCACGCATTCCTTCCATGACCTAGTTAACCTTGCCGTTCGTAGGGAGAATTATGCATGTTGAGATATGCAGTATGTAGCATAAATATCGGTAAACGCGCAATCATGCTACCGCCGTCTCGTTGGTACAATTGATTTTGGACATTAATGTGTGTTAACTTTACGCGTAATTATAATGCGTGATGTTTGCCATTATATCGTATGTTATTGCGAATAAAATTAAAATACATATACGTATGTGTCAAAGTGCAACGAAGCCTTGATAATTCGCAAGGAAATAAAATTACCACGGTTACGTGCGGAATAGTGGTGTTCAATTGCGAGTTTCCGCTCGCAGTCATCTCCTCTTCCTTCCTATCGACCCAAGCAATCAGTATTACCCACAGTATAATCCGCTTTGTGTATCCTCATTATAAAAAAGCTTACATAAGATCGCTTTGAAAAAGTTACATCATAGGAAAAAAAACTTTAATTTGAATTATTATTTGACTTTAGATTCTTTAAACAAACATTTCAGTTCGAAACTATCATACCGGAGTTTATCAGTTATCCCAAAAATTCCACAGGCGCAGAGATTATTGTGGAATAAAATAAAATGTTATACGAATTTTTCGAAATAATCTTCCAAAAGAGAGCATATGTAACTCGAAAAAAAAAAAACTCGTGTTGGGGATTAAATTTACGCTTATTTTTCGTAGATACTATAAAATATTTATTCATTGAAAATAATAATTATAACCGTATACTGCATGGATAAAATAAAAGATATTGTGTTAACAGAATCATGCAATGATGTCGAAACAGGAAAATAAACATGACATTCGGGAGCTACAAAAACTAAATATTAATGTCAATTACTGGGTATTACCAATTTGATATTTTGCACTTTCAGAATTTTAGACATTTTGTGGCCCGCCAACAGCATTTAGCCGTCGTGCCATTGTTACATTGGAATTCGCTGACGGTATGCAGCCGTAGTAACAGCATGTAAATGCTGATGTATGTTGGATCAGCTTATGAAATGAGAATATGTTAATATTATGTGTTAAACATTAAAACTTTCATTAAACAAAAGTTTAATGGAAGTCAACTGTGCTACTGTTTCTCATTTCTAAATATTTTTAGAGATTCGAAAGATCCCTATAAAAGCGAAAAGCTGTTTAAAAAATGCTTCTTCAGTTGTTCCAACGTAACAATAATAAAATGTATTTACATACAAATAATAGCATTTGAAACATGCATATGTATGTATATGTACTTACTGATGAATACTGATAGAACACAGAAATGTATGTGTCCGTTTTTTGATACTTAAAATAATTATTTAAACAGTTATTAATTCCGCTCATATCGAAACTTCATTAAATATAGAGGGCTTGTTTCGTAATTGACTTTTCATTTTGATTCAGAAAAAATTCACTCGGGCTATATCTGATTTGTGTGGCAAAGGAAAACGCAAATAAAATATTTTGCTTTCGTCCAGGCTAAAAGCAAATGAAATATTTTTCGTTTTCAGTCTCTGATATAGGGAATGCACACACGATCTTTGAAATTTTTACATGAATATGCGACACTAGACAGAATTTTTGATATACCTCAAACTGTTTTAGAGATATTCGCATATTATATTTTCCGCGAATCCGAATGGATACATGAATCACTATTTGTTTAATATTGAAGTCGCAAGTGGCAATCTATTGTAGATTCTCGATAAATATGCATTACGTGAATACATGCTGTTGCGGACAATAACAACAGGATTCGTCGCAAAATGTAATAAGCATGCAGCATGATTCAATCAAAATCCATTTCTATACGGACGTGAGAAGAATAAAAAGCGATTGCTTAAATTTAAGAGGCAGAATGAATAAGTGATGTGGACAGAAATTAAAACGACAATAGGAGCGAATAAAGAAATTGTCGTATACCGAAACACGGAAACAATACTCAAACTATGAGAAAGAAAATAACGCAAAAACAACATTTAGTATAAAACCAACGACATATCCTGAATTGTAGTTGTATTTTTGGATTTGTAGTACTTCTCCGCCGTGTGCATCTCTCCGAAAGTTTTTGAAATCCATTCTGCAACAGAGTGACATACGATTCGTTTATTTTGAAAGTGTTGTAAGTTCAGCTTTGAAACATTATGAGTTTCAGTAGAATACAGACATAAACTGATAACTGCTATATCGGTTTCACCAAAAGTTTTCAAAACTACACTCCCACCAGTTTACAAACTGGGAAACACGATCGAGCCGGAACGAAGGAAAGCTACCGTTTTTAATCCGCGTACGAAATACAAAAAAACATAAACACGATAACACACGCCACTGGCTATGTGCAAAAAAATCGTACGTTTATTTAAGTAAATTAAAAAAAAAAGGAAAAGTTTCTCGATAAAATACTAACTCTAAATTGCAAGCGTATCCCGATGCGTTTACGAGACACTCCTGAAACACGAAATTAATTCCATAAAATCTTTCATACGGAGAATGACGGAATTAAAGTTTTATCTCACGTCTCTCGCATTCACAACGAAAAAGATTCTGCTACTTTATTTTTCGTTCCTCTCTTCTGCGAAGCATCGCCGATCACCGATGTTCACGATTGAGCTTTTTTCCGACGGAAGATTAATTAATCATCCATTAATTGATCTCTTCGTCGGTTTGTCGAACACTATTGTATAAACGTTACAGGAAGAGATTTAATTAGAATAACATTTTTTCCGGAACCTGCATGTGACAGGTGATCAATTATGACAGTCCGAGAGGCGGGGTATCGGTTATCACGGAGAAGGGCGAGGTTACGACGTCATACCTTTTAATTCAACGTGCTCAACCGGCAGACAGCGGACAATACACCTGCCATCCCAGTAACGCTAATACAAAGACAGTCTTAGTACATGTACTTAATGGTATGTATACTTCTTAATCTTATAACGCACCTGCTGTTACGTTGTTACAACGTTTGTATGGCGGCTTAATGTACCTAATAGCGATCTTTATGCGCTATTCAGCCCCGATTATCCGGTATATTGCGAGAAAATAAATATTACCTCGCGAAGCCGCACTCAGCTCTTCGCTAAGAAAAAGAAAAGAGGAAAAAGAGAATATTAATCTTTCGCTTTACAGGGGAACATCCAGCTGCGATGCAGCATGGCGGACAGCTCAGATTAGCCAATTTACCTTTTGTAATGATCTCGACGACGCTTTTGACCTTCTTGAATCATCCATATTAGACGTAGACTGGACCATCGTAAACGTTAGTTAGATATGTTCCTTTTGATTTTTCTTTCGCATTTCAACCGTTTGATTTTTCCTCTCACGCAACACTCTACGCAACTCGTATGAATAAATGATCGATAAACTACACAAGTTCGAGAGTCTTTCAACGCGATAACATGATTTATATTGTACAGTTGTTGTTTGAGTATATCGTTATTAAACGCTGTTACTATTGTTATTTACTATGATTTATTGTTGTTAAATTTTTTTTATTGAAAGATAGTCTTTATGTAAGTAATATAGTCGTCAGTCAAATTAGTCTTTATACCTTGCGCGAGAATTATTAGATATTCTTTATGAACTGCACAACGTCGCCTACGTATTGTCTACGTCAATAAGCGTACCTTGCGAAAGTCTGTAGGCGAATATAAATGGGCGAGAGAGAATCGTACCTTGGAACGGAAAAGCATCGTAATGTACTAAAAGAAATATAAGAACAAAACTCTGAAAGCGACGAACCGAAGAGCAAAAGCGACAAAACGGTCTCGCAAGAAGTAAAAAAAAAAGACGAAATTTGTGTTGATGCTAAAGTATTGTAAATGTGCGATTTAGGGCGAAGACAGGGTAACGAAAATCGATTACTGCATTTGCGAAAATATTTACTGATTACTTAATTTAGAAAGCTCAGATCCGAGCAACAAGTAACGTTACATACATTTTGCTTTATCACGTTTTACCAGACAATACGTTGCGCTTGCCAAAAAAAAAAAAAAACTACGTACATGTTACTGTTACAAGAATAATTTAGATTTTAACATAGAGAGATGCATGTTAAAATCTATTATTATGTTGTGAGGGAAGAAAAAACCACGTATAAAAAATATATATATATAAAATACACTGTAAAGCTGCTAAAATGGAAATATTCGATGATGTATGAATGAGCGTGTCACGTTGAGGTATGGCTGGAATCATCCGCACAAACGTACAAGTTTTTGAGAGAAAATTGTTCTTTAACGAACAATCGTCTTCAATACAAAAAGAATTCCGATAAATTTGACGCACTCAAACGAAAGAATGCGCTTCAGTAACCATCAAATGTTATATCGTAATTACATTAAATTTCTATTCGTTGATTCGATTTATCAATCGTTGGCGCTTTATTTGATATTGAAACCAATTTATTTGACAATGAGGATCTATATTCCCTCGAATGACTGTTACAGACTTGTAAATGATGGCGATAATTATGAAAAAAATACTATAGTTACAATACTTGATATCTATCGCTCAGATTATAACTCAAGGTCTTTAAAAGTTTATCTTTCAGTCTTTATTTACTGTACGAACATTGATGTAATATGACTTTACTTTGTATATTTAATGTATTACTTTTAATACATTATGTTATGCAAAAAAGCTTATCATGAAGATTGATTCTAATATTCATTTAAAAAGTAAACCAAAACAACTTAGGTTAATTCTAGAGATACACACTGGAGTCCCCCTTGGAGATTTTTTCGTGTCTTTCTTTTTTTTCAACCCGCACCTCTCGGAGCTCCTTAATTCTATCGATTTTTATAAATTATTGGCCTATTCTTTGATCGATTGAAAAAAAATTAATTGAAATTTTCCATTTTTGCTGGAGTTACGATAACAAATATAGATAAGATGTTCAGGGACTTCAGTATGTACTTAGAGTGTGTATACCTAGAATTAATATTAGATTGTGCGTCTTGAAAATTTCGATTGCTTAACGAGTTAAACAAATAGTTTCGGATTTATGGCATCTTGCTCTCAGGATTCATACTTGTATATCATAGTCGCTCTACAAATTAGGACGTGTATATTGTGTGTGGCCGAAATTACTCGAATTTGTTTGGGCAATTTGAAACTGTCGACTACTTTTTGATTTAATGAGTCTATTAGATAATATTTATTTATTGTCGTGCAAATAAATCAATTATGATTAAATAATGTGTGTATCAATCGTATGTCATTTAAGGTATGATTCTTTGAGTATAAACGATATTACATTCGAAAAATAATTTTATAGACTTATTAATAATATTAATGTTTTTTTTTAATTAGAAATAAACTACAAAGTTGAATGTGAGAAAATCAAAATTTATAATCTATCTGGATCACGATAAAAAAAACGATCTGCTAATTACTAATATGCATATACAGAATATCTCGCAGTGTTTTCCAGGAATTAAGGACTTTTAGCGGATTCACACAAATGGAAGAAGAGAGAGTGAGACAGTCGATATTTCCTTAGCTAAATCTTGTTTGTACATAATAATGATACTAAAAAATATTACAGTAAATCTCAAAATTCAAATTCTCTTAGAGTAAAGTGTAAATGATGCTGAATAAAAAGAAAGATCTTTATTTCCAAAATGTTAAAGTTTCCTTCTTTCATATAATAAAATACAATCGCTATTAAATTAAATACGATTGCTGTGATAAGAGATATAGTAAACGTTCTTTTATAACAGCTTACACGGTTTGTAGTGGATCCTTATCACTTTCAGAGACGCATACTTCGACAGGTTTTTGCAAATTATGCTTTAATATCGAAGCATATATCTTTAAAAAACCACGTTCTGAATCAGAATGATTTGTTAGTATAACATGACTACCCTGATGTACAGCATCCAATACATCGTGATGCAACATTTCTCCCGTGAGATATAAGTCTGCAGATATTCCTTTTAATATCGACGTGCCCGCTCCAGCACATAATGCAACGGTATTAATGTAACCATCTAAAATATAATAATGATAATGCAAAATATAATATAATAATTATATTTATGTCACCCATCAAGCTTAATTTCATTTTCCAGCAATAAATTATTTTTGTTAAGATCTCACCTGTACCACGCGCAAGTGCTAATCTTACATGCTTCAGATCAGTTCGTTGCTTAACTAAATTTACTGCTTCATCGACAGATATCCGGTTCTTCAAGGTACATAATCTTCCAAATCCATAAGTCGCGTTATCCTCATTTGGTTGAATCGGCTTACTACTTTCGAGCTCTTAAAATGTAACTTTTATATAGTAAAACATTAATACTTTAACGATGGAAATATAGTGAATCTTTTTCTTACCAAAAGCTTCTGCTAGCCAATCGTTTACACCCCCTTTCACAGAATCAAAACTGCTATGCGGAGAGAAGACAGCAATCTTATTTTCTAGACACCTTGCTATTATTCGTTCCTATTATGTGTAAAGAAAATTAGGTTGCGATAATATTTTGACAAAAATCATATCACACAACTTCACCGTACCTTCCAAGATTTAGTTGTAATAGATTTCAACGGAACAAATATTAACGGATGATACGTGACAATTAAGTCGGTTTTTAATTTAATGGCTTCATCCATAACATCTTCGGTTAAATCATTCGTTAATAAAATATGCGACACAATTTTCGATTCTGTAGGTTCAACCAGTAATCCAACATTGTCCCAAGAAGCTGCGAGCGACGTATCCGCAAATTTATTCATTGCACTCACAACATCTTTCAAAGGTATGCCGACTTTATTTCCTGTAGTATTACTCATCGTGCGTATTGTTTTATACTGCTTAATGTATTTGTATCGGAAGTAAAAATTCTCGCAAGATAATCCCACGTTGTACAAGCGCTTCAGCATTTATAAACAGCCCTAAAATAAAGATGTAACTATAGATGACATATTGCAGTAAAAGGCTATTAAAGATATTACATAATATATCATGTAGCATCCAGATATTTAAACTTATTAGTTATTTAAAATTAAAGTCAAATTTTGTTAATAAAATCGTCAAGATATTGACTTTTTAAACAACAAGATATTGAAAATAAAAAACTTTCAAATCAACCCTTTCAAGAAAAAATAAGACTGTTATTCTACGTAACATTACAAATTTTGTTACAATAAATATTGAAATTCAGAAAAGTAAAAATTATAACTAAAATAATGTTCCCCTTTCAGGCTATTTTGAGGAAATGATAAATCACATTTTATAATGAACGTCTATTATTTATTATTCATTAATTTTAATTATTCCGTTTTTAAATAAGAAAGGCACTAATAAAGTAAACAAAATTACATATTTTATATAGATATATATTTATTCATTATAAAGCCATATCTTCACTGTACTATCGTCGCTCGCAGACGCGAGTTGTCCAGGAATTGTAGGATTCCACTGAACACAATTAACATCTTGAGCGTGTGCACTATTTATCGAGCAGATCATTGTAAAACTCGGTTGATGTGGATCACAGTCGCTATCCTCTTTAAATATCCTAATGATATCGTCGCCGCACGCGGTCACCAGTAAACCCGTAATTTTGCACCAATCGATATCATAAATAGTTCTCGTATGATATCCCGACAGTGTGCAGATACACTTCCAGATAGACTCGTTGTTCGGTGTAGCAATGCCCATATCGTTTCCAGGTTTATATTCCCGCCATATCTTAACCGTTTTATCATCGCTGCAGGTTGCTATTCGATCGCCGATCTTATCCCATGAAAGACTCCATACCGTAGATGTGTGAGACGACAAGGTTGCGGTGCATGACCAATCGCTATCAGCAGCATCTTCCTTAAATATCTTCACTGTGTTGTCGTAACTGGCAGAGGCTAGAATTTCTTCATGTGGATGCCATCTCACCTAAAATAAAAATAAACTTTTATTTCATACAAGGTATAAATCCTCCATTTTAAATAAAATATCCACTCTAAATTGATAAAACAGAGCAGAGCTATTTCCGTCAGTTTCAATGTTAAAGCAATATGAAAATTTACGATAGCACACAATATCTGTAATATATTATACAATCATGATTGCTCCTTGAGAGCACAAGCATAACCTTTAAATAATCAACATATGCTGTTCAGAACATTATCGCAAAAAATGAACGAAAAAGCCCTGCTCTACCTTAGAATAAATTGAAGGTTTCTTTTAACAAATACATATTTTTTTAAATGATAATTTCCAATGGATAAATTTACAACATACCTTCTTTACGTCTTGAGTATGAGCATTGATAACGGCAGCACATTCGTATTCATCGTCATTCACTTCCCATACCCATACAGATTTGTCTCGGCTACATGTGGCGAGTAACTGACCAGAGATTGACCAACTAACGCTTTTAACTTCGTTCTCATGCCCTTCTAACGTCGCATTACATTCAAACTGTCCCGACTTCTTGTCCCATACCGCAGTAGTGGCATCAAAACTCGCCGACGCGATATAATTACCACAGGGGGACCAAGCCAGTTCTCTAATGGTTCTGGAATGTCCTTCGGTAAGGATCATTTTTGTAACCCACTTGGGTCCCTCCAATCCCCATATTATAATCGTCTTATCTTCGCCGCAAGACGCTAGATTCGCACCTTTGGGATGCCAACAAATATTCCACACCCTGCCTCCATGCCCAGTCAGACTTTGCTTTAGTTCCAATGTACCCATTGCTACCTGCAACAGCATACGATTCATATTTCATGTAAAAAGCGATACAAATTAATTAAGAATGCTTTTCGTTAATGGAGCATCGCGAGCTATCTAAAGGATTATAAATGCAAAAATAACAAATAAAATGTTTTCATAAATTTTTTTAATATCTAAGATAAACAGTACACAAAACAAGATAGCGCAGGATACTTTGGAACTAAGTAGCAGAACGTATAATTTTCTTATCGCAAATATATTCGTTTTAATCATTTTTTCTATTAACCTTTCTCATTTTTATATACAGTATAGGGGTGATTTGTTTGTAATGTATGTAATTAACAACAATGAGCCTAGATTTAGAGAGATTTTGTGTCACATGACGATAATTGATTGACGACGAAAGTTATTCCTTCCAAATTTGCTTTGCGCACAGTAATAAAGCAGTAATAAAGTATCCAGAGATTTTGCAAACTCACCGTTTTGTGTTCTTGAAACAAATAGTCCCTAATTCTCGCATGCATATAATATACCGGTTGACAACGCGTAGAATATTTATGAAAATGATAACGTATGATAGGCCTCCAATTGCTTCCGACTCCGAGCAGAGAGTGCAGAAATAAACTTAAGGTTGCCTTCTATTTAGTGACACAAGTCGACACAAATATCATTCCATCTTTCTTTGCAGTCCATGAGTAACAAAGACAAAATAAATACTTAGGTCTGTTCTTTTTACTTAAAGGTCCATGTTGGAGAGAAAAAGAGAAAAGATGAACCGTGCAAGAAATTTAGCTAAAAATAAAAAACAATTACAAGTCTCGGATACTCCTAAGCACTTCTGAAATCGTGATCAGACTAGAGATTGAAATTGAAATTAGATTAGAATTTAACCAATCAAAGTAAAGTTCACTAAACTTAAGATTGGTTTTCTTTCTTCTGATTGGTTAAAATCCAATCTCAGGATCGGTCCACTTGGTGCTACAAATGCTTTGAAGCACTTGATTGACCAATCAACAGAAAGAATTTTACTAATCGATCAAAAAATGTTTCGAAGCATTTGTAGCATTAAGTGGACATCAATTTCGAGTCTGATCACGACTTAAGCATGATGGAATTAAGACCGGAGCACCTTTGTATAAAGATACATTTTCATGAGCCGTTCGAAAGGATCACGTGGTCCAAATTGACGAATATTAAGCGTCACTTTTTGTGAAACAGCCGGTTTAAGCGGCTTATGAAAATATACCTTAAGGGGATCCTAAAGCAAAGGCCGAATTTTATCAATGTCGATAAAACTAATCTGTATCATATAAAATCGAACATAGTAATGAAACAAAATTAAAAATACGAAGAAATTACATATATTATATCTCTTATCATTTCATAGATTGAAAGTATAAAGTATGGCCTTGTGAAATATAACATTGTAAATTGTAAATTTCTGTGAAAAATTAACAATGCAACACAAAAAACTTACGAACATCATTTTACATTGCAAAAAGTGTTTTAAAAAACCAGTTAAGATATTTAAGTAAATTCTTATGATTGCACAAAAAAAAACTGAAGTAGAACACATTTATTTTGAAGAAGTAGATCATTTATTTTTATTGTAGTTTAATACTTTTGTTAAAGATTTAGTACTATTTTATATCCATCTTAAAGCTTTTCCAAAATGTTTTGCTTTTTCTAATTCATTTATAATTCAATTGTTTTATATTTGATGTTGATGTAAAATAATAACGTTTCCAAATATATATATAACAAGATATATTCAATATAAATTAATTTATGTATGCTTTATAATAAAATGTAATCATAGTAATTGAGTGTGAACAATATCATAATATGTATAATTATAAACGTTAATTAAGTATTATTGAAATGTTTAAATCCAATTCAATTTGTGCAAATTTATGAAATATTTAATCACTAACAATCTAACTTATCTATATACATATAAGATATCTAATACTGTATCATTAATTTTTGCACAAAAATATAATATTGCATTGTTCATTAAAAACAATAATGTTCATAGTGTAAGTTCATGCAAATAATACAATATTGTTTAAAAATACATATCTTGAAAATTTTTATATGTTCAATTAAAAATAGAAACTGAGAAAGCACTATTAATTTTCATATAAAAGAAACAATAATAAATTTATATAAAAGTATGCTCTAGTAGATGAAATATGAAAGTGACTCAAACAACACGTATGTTCAAAAACGAGACATGAAACGTCTTAAAGATATTTTTAAGATTATGTCTTATGTCTTGATTTTGGACTTTTTGTTATCCAGGAAACTAAATATTAATATTTGAATATTAATATATTAACATCCGAATGTTATTACGTATAAAAAAATAAAAAACGTTTCGGGTCACTGTAAAATTATATTATTGTAAAATCGTATTCTTGAATGTTGATAGAGTGTACCAGAATTTTTTTAAATTTTTTTAGTGTCTAAAAACCCTCTGAAAAACACAAACAGTGACCCGGTCGGACTAAGAAAGCAGTGAAAAAAACGTTGAACCACGAAGGATTAAGATGATTTTGAAATAAAAACTGATTATGGGTATATATGTTTGTGGACTAAATCTCTCGACCTTTTCATGACAAATGACAATCGAATGTTATTTGAGTTAATCATCATGACGAGATTCAAAATGCCACTTCATCTTATCTTCAAGTGGTATTCAAACATTAAGAGAAAATGTACTAAACTTCAGTAAATATTTGTTTGAATAATTCTAGCTATAAATATTCACTAAATGTAAGAATACGTATATATATATTTATTTAGTACAAAAGAACTATTAATTATTAATTATTTGTTATTTTATAAATAATTATTCATCGCAAGTAAATATTAAGTTAGTATTTAATTTAGTATATTTTTCTTACAGTGTAGTCCGTTTTTTATTTCAAGCCCTTCTTAAAAAAAGGATCAGCCGGGCCCGCAACAAATGGATCGTTCCTCGCGCATAACTCGCTAATTACCCGAACTGCAACGCAATTTATACTTAATTTATAGCTAATTAGATATTCGGATGTATTTGCGAAACTTTGCAGCGCGCTCGATATTAACCGTGAGCGCCACTAATCCAATAATTTGTTTCTCAAACACTGTTGTCCGAGTCAGCGGGACGCGCAATCGCCGTGACGCGGTGCAACGCAGACGTCATCGCGTCCTGATTCTCCAAAAAAAAAAAAAAAAAATAGGAACCCCTAGGTAAGACGGTATCTTCAATCCACCCTCTCCGGCGTGGAACAAGTAGGGAGGACACAAGGGACGAATGAATGAAACGTAGAAAAGGAAGGAAACGCCGCGTTTGCAGCCGAGACGCTCCAGGTCACCCAGGTGCGCGCCGTCTCGTCTGCTGCCACGGACCGCCACGGTGCGGAGCTAGAGAAGCGTCGTAATCGCGGACGCCCGATTGACGATCTGACGTAGATTACGTAGAACCCGAGGATCGGCGGTTAAAGTCGTCACCGCACCGACCAAAGGGAATCGTTGCAGGTGAGACTGGGTGAGACGAGGGTGGGAGATCGCGCACTCGTTGTGTAGCCGAGGCAGCTGAGCGACTGTAATATGTTGTATTAGTAAACCGACCGACAACAACACAACAACGTCAACGACAGTGGCGAATGTGACGGACGACGGTGACGGTAGAGTGCGGTGCGTGGCGTCGACGCCCTGCCAGTGGACGAGGCACGGCGACACCTGCTCGGTAGGTACGTAGACGTGCGGCACGGTGACGCGCGTACATAAGAATATTAAGAACGGACGGACATACGGACGTGCGTGCGTGCGTGCGTGCGTGCATACGTGCGTGCGTGCGTGCGTGCGTCGTACCAGAAGCAAAGATCAACGAAGACGGCCATACTCAATAAACAACGGCCGACTCGCCGAGCGGAGTGAGCGGCTACGAGAGATGAGGTAGATAATAGTTTCAGAAACGGGAGACAAGGAGAGAAAGAGAGAAAGAGAGAAAAAAAAGAGAGAGAGGCTCCTCTTCGCAAACCGCACGCAGCGGGCCGCGCGCGTGAAGCTGCAGAACGGGTAGAGAGACGAAGAGAGAGGATCGCGAGAAGAGAGAGACGAGACGATAAACGGAGGCGAATTGAGCAGATTGAGCTGAGCTAAGCCGAATCGAATCGAATCGCGGTCGGCGCGAGTGTAACCGCGATATATCGGTGCGCGAGGGCGAGCCAACAGCAACACTAGCAACAGCAGCAGCAGTAACGAGTAGCAAGGAGAACACGAAGGAGCGGCTCGGAACGGGCGGAAGTGTGGGTCGTGCGTGCCTCTGCGTGCGTGCAGTGCGTACAGAGAGAACGTTGGAAAAGGGATAGCAGATAGCGGCAACGACAGCAGCAGTAGCGGCGGCGGCGGTGACGAGAACAACGACAACGACGACGGAGCAAGCGGAAGCGGCGACGGCGGCGGCGAACGGGGCACCGGTGATCGAGTTTGGCGCGGGAGTCCAGTTGGTCGGCGGGATGAGCGCCAAAACCGACGTCAACAGGCGGGTACTGGCGATTCAGGCAAAGAAGAAGCGGCACAAGCCCAGCAAGCGCAAGGGCAAAGCCAATTCCCAGAGCGAACAGGACGCGCAGAGCTCCCTACCACTACCACTACCACCACCTACGAGTATGCCTCGGACGGACCCCCGCAGCGCGCTTATAACAGCGACAACGGGACCAGGTAACCCCGACATGTCCGATTGGCGAACAGCCGGCGGCACGAAGACTCATCCGGACTCATTACGTTATATCGCTTTCCGGTGCACCAAGCGTCGCGACGACACGATGTTACACTGACACATATCCCACGTTACTGTCACGATACACGCGCGTGTCGACGGTGACAGTTAACCGTCGAAATCACCGGCCGAAATTAAATGTCGCGTTCTGTTTCGAGCTCGACTCTTTTCCATCATTCGGATCCCTGTGTTACGGAGATATCGATAAGTGGGTGATTATATAAACATCGGAATTGCCGGGAAACGAAATTGTGGATAACAATGATTAATGTAATATTTAATATAAGTTAATAATTTTGTAGGCAATAATCTCTAGTAATTATAAAGATAAAGGATTAAAAAATATAAATAATCATTCGTGTAACTTTTGTGCTAATCAGGATCTTGGCAACAGTCATGTCGAAAATATTGATTTATAATCTTTGATAACCATGTTTCTGAATTATTCGGTAATAATTGCGTTTGCTACGTATGGAAGCATCATCATAGAGATAGTCAACGTGAAACTTAGCTGATTACACTTAGCTGTTGAAATCAATCGTTTTCTCACTTGATTTTATTCGCTCTTGTGTCACGAGGAAGAATCGATTGTTACAAGTGACGCGTTAGTTATAATAACTTATCATTTATGATCGATGAATCTGTCGTAGATTGGTACCATGTCATAGTTCCAGCAATGAAACGATAGAGGACGATGATGCATTCAGTACCGAGGATGAAGAGCAGGAGGATAGCAGTGACTACTGTAAAGGC